TAACAGCTTATTGACTCTGAACAACGAATATATAAAATACAAAGCGACTGCAATTATGGTTTCCAACTAGGGCAGGTGACTCCAGGTAGGTAGAAAAAAAAAGAAGGCTGAAACGAAAAATGACAGACTGACAGCTCATAATCAATTCTAACACAAATGTGCCAATACTGATAACATCCAAAACAAGAGGTAAAATACCAAAGTGTAGTCTTTTATGAAAAAAATGTACAGCCTTGATTTGCTAAAGTATAACAGATGCAGGGAAGGACTGGAAAGCTTTGGCATAGGGCAGCTATATATCTTTCAAGGTAGATTTCTGTAGACTAAAAAAAATGTACCCAGTAAAGTGTACTATAGTGTTGCAGTTATTGGTGAAAGGTGGGTTTTACTAAATGATATGCTTTATTGTGTATCAACAAAATACATAGTTGTAGACTTTGTGTGGACATACAGTTGTGTCCAAAATTATTCAACCCCCACTGAAATTGAGTGTTTTGGCCAGTTTGACATTGCTTTTGATCATTCAGTCATCTTGCTTACATTTACATAAAGAGGCACTTGTAGGTCAGACAAAATATAACATAACAGTTATAATGAAATAACCACAAATGTCTTTTCTGTGCTCACAGCATTATCAGTTTTATTCAACCCCCAAGTGACATTCAATCTTAGTACTTAGTACAGCATCCTTTTACAGTTATAACAGCTTTTAAACGTGAAGCATAGCTTGACACAAGTGTCTTGCAGCGATCTACGGGTATCTTCGCCCATTCTTCATGGGCAAAGGCCTCCAGTTCAGTCACATTCTTAGGCTTGCGCACTGCAACTGCTTTCTTTAAGTCCCACCAGAGGTTCTCAATCGGATTTAAGTCTGGTGACTGCGATGGCCACTCCAAAATGTTCCAGCCTTTCCTCTGCAACCATGCTCTAGTGGACTTGGAGGTATGCTTGGGATCATTGTCCTGTTGAAAGGTCCAACGTCTCCCAAGCCTCAGGTGTGTGACGGACTGCATCACGTTTCCATCCAATATCTCCTGGTACTGAAGAGAATTCATGGTACCTTGCACACGCTGAAGCTTCCCTGTACCTGCAGAAGCAAAACAGCCCCAAAGCATGATGATTGACCCTCCACCATGCTTCACAGTAGGCAAGGTGTTCTTTTCATCATAGGCCTTGTTCTTCCTCCTCCAAACATAGCGTTGATCCATGGGCCCAAACAGTTCTAATTTTGTTTCATCAGTCCACAGAACACTATCCCACAACTTTTGTGGTTTGTCCACATGGCTTTTGGCATACTGCAGTCGACTCTTCTTATTCTTTGGAGACAGCAAGGGGGTACGCCTGGGAGTTCTGGCACGGAGGCCTTCATTACGCAGTGTGCGTCTTATTGTCTGGGCTGAAACTTCTGTACCCACATCTGACAAATCTTTTCTCAGTTCCTCAGCAGTCACACGGGGACTTCTCTCCACTCTACGCTTCAGGTAGCGCACAGCAGTCGAAGTCAGCATCTTCTTTCTGCCACGACCAGGTAGCGTTTCAACAGTGCCCTTTGCCTTGAATTTGCGAATGATGCTTCCTAAGGTGTCTCTTGGTATGTTTAACATCTTTGCAATCTTCTTATAGCCATTGCCCTTCCTGTGAAGAGAAATCACCTCTTCTCTTGTCTTCCTGGACCATTCTCTTGCCTTCACCATGTTTGTAACCACACCAGTAAATGTCTAGAAGGAGCTGAGTATCACAGTCATTTTAAAGCTGCCTAATTGGTGCTTATTATGCTTGATTGCTGCTCGGTGACATCCACAGGTGTTTTCAATACCTGATGGAAAGCACCTGTATAACCTCTGTTCTTCAGAGTGGTAGTCTTTAAGGGGTTGAATAATTGTGGCAATGAAGAAACCACATAAGAACCATTTACTACTGTATTACATAAACAATTGATGTCATTTTAGTTGCATTTGGGTAGTTACAACGTCCTTGTAGGATTTGATTCTGAATACAATTCCAAATGTACACTATAGTCCCTAAACCCCTTTACAGCATTGGGGGTTGAATAATTTTGGACACAACTGTATAGAAGAGAAACTGAGTACAGTAAAAACAACTTTATTATGTACCATTAAAAATCTATTACACAACATTAAAAATTACTCTCTACATAGGGGTTCACAAAATGCAAAGATTCTGATTACAATTCACATGTGGATGCAAAGCGTTTCGGGAATCCTTCTTCAGGTGCACATTTGACCGATTCAGTACACTGAAACCCACTCCTAATGTTTTAATAGAGTAATATCAATCAGTAGAGTAGACTGGAATTCACAGGATAACCTCCAGGATGGATTGGCGTGAACTGAGTTTGCTTCTAAGATACTTATTAAGAGCCCCCTTTTTGGAATATATTTGCCTTGACTACCATGCTGTCTTTATGGTGACTTACCTACATTGGGTCTGAAAGGTTCCCCATTGGGAAGTTAGTCCTTCTATTTTAAGATTATGTATATAGGACCATTGGATGTTTACTGCATGTACCTGATTTTCCCACCCGAGAGGCAGTGGCTTCTCCTTGGTCTACTCATTTGCACCTCTATGCTATGAATTCCAGTCTACCCTACTGATTGATACTACCCTATTAAAGATTAGGAGTGGGTTTCAGTGTATTGATTCTGTCACATGTGCTCCTAAAGAAGGATTCCCAAAAAGCGTTGAGTCCACAAGTAAATTTTAATAGGAATCTTTTTATGTTGTGAACCTTTATGTGGAGAGTAATTTTTAATATTGTGTAATAGAATAATAAAGTTGTTTTTTACAGTACTCAGGTTCTCTTCTATATGGCCACACAAAGTCCATGACTACATATTTTGTTCATAGTCATGCATGATTTGCTCATATTCAAAATACACCCAAAAAAGCCTATAAAAGGTACCAGGGGCATTTCATGGGGCCCCCTACTGTGGTAAATGCCCCTCTTCTCCCCAACCCAGTCCTCCCTTTACCAGATGTATGTCTTACCTAAACTTACCTCTAACTCTTACAGTTGAAAAGAACAATCTTTATGGCAAATAATGTTATAAGTTTATGAAGTGAGTATAATATCCATTTGGTTTTAATTTTAAATATAATAACTCTTTTGCCAAAAAATGGAATTGATAGATATTTTCCCAATGTGCTATAAAACTAAAGCCCCTCGCAACTGTATGCTAATGTTTTCACTTCACTGTTGCAAATTATTTTAAAAAATACTTCCTAATAATTACAGTTTCTGTTCCACTAAGTCATGTCTACATTCACAATATAGGCTTGCCTTTCTTCATAGGAATGGCCGGCCAATGTCACACTATATATAGTATAGATTCTGGAGCCATACTGGTTATAATAGATGTCTCTGCTCTGAAGGAAGATCATTGTAGAATTCTAAAACACAGTGACAATAAGATTTCCTATGTACAATTAACATTCATATTCTTTATCTGGAAGGATTGATAAGGGGTACAGGAAGATATTCTTAAAATGGTATCTTTAAAAAAATACACAATTTATCCATCAATAAACTCTTTATCTCATATATTATTTAGGACATTGCACCACAATGGGATAGTTGCATATTAATATATATATATATATATATATATATATATATATATATATATATATATATATATGCGCGCACACACACAAACACACACATATTAGATATATATAGATATGTTTTATATGTTTACAAAAATAAGCATTGCAGTGCATATGTCCACTAAAATCCCTGAATTACTGTTAGCTTTCATAACTTAGAGAAACTACTGCTAAATTTCCTCAGATAGAATTCCTCTCTGCATATGTATAATAAATTAAAGATTTACACTACAAAAAATGGTTGGTTTGTGGTAACTGGGGCTAACATTTGAATACATAATCTCTGCCTTGTTTAATGCCATAATAGAAGATTTATTTTCTAAAGCTCTAAATACAATATGGACAGATCCAGTGTATACATCATAAGTGTTCATGTTGTATCATCATCAAATAGCATCTGTGCAAAATATGCCTTTAAGAAACCAGTGTCCATAACTGTATTTAGCAAATTATATAAGACTAGTTTACTTAGAGATCAGGGCCTGCTATAAAACGCTTATACAAAAATACTGTACCAGGCAGATTTAACTTAGAACATATACCAAGGGACCTTCAATTATGACCATGTAGCTTTGGATATAACAATAAACTTTACATACTGCCAAATTTACCCAGCTGCATCAAATTCTTCTGCTGAGCACCAGTCCAGCACTGGAAATACACAAACGGATGGGCTTTACAACCACTGTCAAGTCATCTGACCAAGTCGAGGATGCTGTGAAAACCCATCTCTAGAAAAATCTACCTTTTATCCATTTATTTTAAGAAAGAAGATTTGTTCTTTGTATAAAATGCTGTCCAATGATCTCACCGTAAAATAAATTATCAATACGATCAATTCTTCTTAAAAAGTTCATGTAACGATCATCTATTCAGTTGTCTGTTGTTGTTCTCACAGTCCATCAAAGGAGATTACTTTCATGTTAACAAGGGAAAGTGTTTCAGCTATTTTATCCCATGATATTTCTCATAATAACTGATTACTGGTAATGAATCGTTCCTATTATTCTGCAATGTTTGAACAATATCAAGTCATAAATTACATTAGTCCAAATAACTTAAAACAGAATGGTTTGTAGCAGACATAATTTGGGCTGGCTTGAGGCCAGTTAGCAGCCTTTTCATCTGGAACCCTGGTCACTGTATAAAAGGATAATTACCAACAAGTGTTGGAATTTCTAACAGTGAAAAAAAAAGTGGAACATGATTTCTGTAGAAGGTTTTGTCCCCATGAAATAAACAGGGAGAGAAGGAAGTAAGAAATTCTCATGAACAGTGACCAGTTGACGACCTCCTTGTGCAGGACACAGGTCGCACTTCTGTATTGCACCAAAGAGTAGGATGAAGTCTCATCAACCAATCGGCTCGATGGATCAGATTCCTCCCCTGCACATTGGCAAGTTCACAAATGTAAAGACATTGAATTCTGTGAGGATGGAAATACACAGGAAGACGCCATAGAGGAGAAGACATGCCACACCCAGCTTCTTGTCCAGTTTCCACTTGTTTAGATGAACACCACATACCTAAGTGAATAAACAACCAAAACAGTCAGCACCTTGCCAAGAATTCTATGACAGCCAATTAAAAAAAATGACACAAATAGGCATTACTGAAGGAAATTATGTATAATTTAAAGAATTCTGTAAAGAGAAAAAAATGGAGCTATGACCCAATACAACCAAGACATAAAAATATAATTAATTGTTAGAGGCTAGAGAGACTTTTCAAATTTTTATAAAGCAGTAGATGATTGTATAGGAAAAGAGCAGAAATTATTATTTAAAGTAATTCTGTATTGGTACAGAACATGTAAAACAAGCACAGAATCAGAGAAGCTTCAACAGGGGTTCACAACAAAAGGTGTGCTGCGTTTTCCAGTATTTGACAGGAAAAGACTGAACTTGACCTGCTTTGCCTGCAATTCAGACTCCTGCATTTGATGTACCTGAATCACTTAGGGTCTTTTCACACGGTGTGGACTCTGCCTGCTGATCACTGCTGAGCAGGCAGATGACAGGTCCGTTTAAGCTCTGCTCTACGGTCGTATGTAAATGGACCACCTCTCCATTTACACCCGATTGCCATCTGATAGAAGGGGAACAGATCCCCATCCATCTTTTTTAGCGGATTTGATTGGATGTAGGCAGGTGTAAACAGACACATTTCTATTTACATCCACCTTTCTGTAGTGGAGAATGGAGGTTTTGATTGGGTCCACCTGAAAAATGCACAAGCGAACCCGATTGGAACGTTCATGTGAAAGGGGTATTAGGGTGCCCATCGGCATGAGCCCTAAGTTAGCTAAGCAGGTGGTGCTGCATTGTGGGATGAGGAAGGGGTGTTCCTGCTTTCTCCAAACCTAGAAGATGGGGGATTTTCTGAGGGTCCTTTGATGTTGGAAGATGGCTTTGTGTTATATAGAAGTATAATCTGGTACCCCATGGTACAAAATATATAAAACTTATCTTAACATGGTAAGAATCTATGTAGTGTTTCTTTAAAGCAAATCTAAACCCAAGAACAAAAAGTGAATATAATTCAGCTTAGCAGTCCTTAGATTTGTTGGCTTCATTAGTTTTAATTTTTAGGCTTTTGCCCTTTTTCTTTCACCTGGTTATCTGGCCAGTAACACATTTCCTGTCCTAGGGTGACCCTAGAACAGGAAGTGCTTTAGGACTACAAATCACTTCCTCTTCTTCATAACTCATGACTAAGACCGTAAGGGTGAAACATATCAGCGAGGGGCAGTCTCCAGGTGGGGATGAGCTCTGTTGCTTGTGTGGCTGAATAAAAAATTTACTGAGCCTAGTGCTGTCATCAGTGTGCATCTTCACGTTTTCTATCTATCTTCACAGTTTGAGGACAGGCTCCTTAAACCGGCACCCAATCAGCTTTACTGAAGCCACACAGGATGTTATCCTAATGCATCATCATCTAAATATTACCAAGTAATGGGATTAACTATTTTCTGGTCATTATAGCAAACAAAAAAATTATATAGGTAGGTTGGGACATCATTCTTTTGATCCAGGAAGAAAATCTACAAAATAAGGACTCGGCTTTGATCTTATAAGGTTTAACCTCTACAGAATGGAGTAGGTAGTATGTTATACCACACTGCAATTGAATGTTCCTGTTTTATCACTTTTTATTTTGTTTGCAAGACACACAGCATTTTATCTATCCATGAAAACAAGAAATATACCGACATACCGTAACAAACAAGGAAGCCAGAAGCAAAGCGACAGAGTAGATCAGGCCTCTGCTGTTCAGATGGATCTATAATAGAGGACAATAAGAGTATTACATATAGAAAATAAGAATCTGGCACACTGTTACATAACGCAAAGTTTTCATTGAATGGTAACATAAATACATTATTTTTTTTTACTTTTTACAGATAATAATCATTTCAGTATGCTGCTGAACAGCAATAAAATGCATGCATATACAATGCATGCCAAGTACAATATTATGTGTTTGCAATGATTTACCCTTGATGCAAAAATTCCTGCCATTGCCAGGCTGAATATGACAGAACGTTTGTTACAGCTTTAACCACCAGAGTGATGGAACCCTTACCCCCTTTCTCATTGGACTAAAGAGCACCCACAGATCATAATTCCAATATGAAAAGACCACTATCGACCTACAAGTACATCATTTAAGGGGATTTCATATACAAGTAGTATGGAATTTGAAGTTGTATACCAACCTGTCTTTTATCATGTTGTATCTCAAGTTAGGAATGCCTAATACAATAAAAACCTTTGATTTGCCCCCTATTATCATTACAGTAATATTTAGGGACACATGCTAAATTACACACATATATTTAAATTGGTAAGAGGAAGATACTACATATGGTTCGTGTCAGGGCAGGAACGCTGGAATGGGCAGGCAGGCCTATGGTACGGTCACGCTGCGACTGACGACAGCCACTACCCACAGACCAGAGTCCCTCAGGGCGCGGAGTCTAAGCCCCAGGCTACCCTTCACCAGGGCCCCTGATGTGTGGGGATGGACTTGACGCAGCCTGAGACCAGGTCGCGGCCCCCGAGTGACCCCAGCTGCGATAACGACTGCCGCCAATGGCGTACAGCTGGTGGGAGCTAGATGGGAACACGAGTAGAGTAATCAGACAAGCTGGGTCATAACAACGGAGCAGACAGTACTAGACGGTAGGCAAAGAATACTCAGGTCACGGGCCAGGTTCAGCAACGGAAGGTCAGGTAAAGGGTTAACGCAGTGAGTAGTCTTGTCCAAGCCGAGTCGGTTACCAGGAGAGCAATGGGAACAACACAAGAGCTTGCAACAGGGCAACATACAGGACACAAGTGCAGAGCACACTTGCAGACAGCAGGTTTAAATGTGCTCAACCACACCCTTCTGAGGAGGAGCCGCAGAAGCCTGAAGGCATAAAGGTTCCCACCATGCTTTGCAGAAAACCAAGATGGATGCCAGCTCATGGAGATGCACAAGCTCTGAAGAAAGGTAGGACCTTGACAGTACCTCCTCCTCAAGGGCCCCTCCCCCTCCGTGGCTCAACAAAAGGTTTCTGAGGAAATCGGGCGTGAAAAGCGCGGAGGAGGGCAGGAGCATGAACATCCGCGGAAGGAACCCAGGAACGTTCCTCGGGACCATAACCCGCCAACGCCAATGGACCAAAAACTGTACCCGATAGCGCATGTTAAAGCGCATGGGACATTTAAGACCTGTCCCTGGTACTCAGCCACTGTATCACTGGAGCAGGCGGTGTCATCTATAGGGTGACCACTAGATGTCATCTGTCCGGATGGAAGCTGTGTCCAGCCACTGTGTTGATGGATCAGGTGGGTGTTGTCTATAGGGTGACCACTAGATGTCATCGGTTCCAGGAGAAGCTGTATCACGGATCCAGGGATGTCACTGCAGATGTGTTCTTGTTAGGCACAGTCCCAGGACCTACTGGATTTACAGGCTCCCCAGAAATAAAGAGCCCGTGGAAAAAGGCCTCAAATAGTGTGATAACGTTTATTTAAAAATGAACAATCAGAAAAGAACTTACTTAGCAAAGGTACAGCTGCTTATAAACGGCCAGACCGGAGGTACATGTACATAAGATAAACATAGCTTGGCACTTCCCTAACGCGTATCGTGTAAGTACACATCATCAGAGCAGCTGTACCTTTGCTAAGTAAGTTCTTTTCTGATTGTTCATTTTTAAATAAACGTTATCACACTATTTGAGGCCTTTTTCCACGGGCTCTTTATTTCTGGGGAGCCTGTAAATCCAGTAGGTCCTGGGACTGTGCCTAACAAGAACACATCTGCAGTGACATCCCTGGATCCGTGATACAGCTTCTCCTGGAACCGATGACATCTAGTGGTCACCCTATAGACAACACCCACCTGATCCATCAACACAGTGGCTGGACACAGCTTCCATCCGGACAGATGACATCTAGTGGTCACCCTATAGATGACACCGCCTTGCTCCAGTGATACAGTGGCTGAGTACCAGGGACAGGTCTTAAATGTCCCATGCGCTTTAACATGCGCTATCTGGTCAGTGCATTACTTGGCTTTTCTTTATCATTTCTGATATCTACTATCCCTGGCTCCTCAAGTGTTGGAGACTGTATACGTATTTAGCACATCTGATGAACTGACGCCGTCTTTTTTGCCGATCCACATTCATATGGGATCTATCTTATGTGTAATCATTGTTTTAAGTTAGCGCTGCACTTTCATATTTTACCATTTACTCTGGAGGTTCACGAGGTGCCTTTTAGTGCCAGCAGCTACCCTATCTACATCCACATACTGCGCTCGATTTTATATATATATTTTATATATAAGTTTATTTTATCAAAAACTGTACCCGACCGCGGACCAACCGAGAATCCAAGATGCGGCTCACCTCATACTCCTCATGGCCGTCGACCCTGATAGGATGAGGCCGAGGCGGAGAGGCAGTAAAGCGATTACAGATCAGAGGTTTCAACAGGGATACGTGGAAGACATTGGAGATGTGCATCCCAGGAGGAAGAGCAAGGGCATAGGCAACCGGGTTCACCCTGTGAAGAATGGGAAAGGACCAACAAAACGGGGGGCCAGCTTTGGTGCGGGCACCCGAAGCTTGAGGTTGCGAGTGGATAACCACACCCGATCTCCGACCTGGTATGAGGGAGCGGGCAACCATCTACGATCAGCCTGGAGCTTCTGGCGCTGTGCTGAGTCCTTCAAGGACCTCTGAATCTGCCCCCATGAGGAGCGCAGAGCAGCCAGGTGGTTATCCACAGCCGGAATGTCCTGTGGAGAGAACAACTCAGCAATACAGCGGGTTGGAACTCATAGTTGGCCATGAAGGGGGACATCCCAGAGGAGGAGTTGACAGCCGAGTTCCTCGAAAAACTCTGCCCATGGCAGGAGATCGACCCAGTTGTCCTGATGATCCGATATATAGCAACGAAGGAATTGTTCCAGGGCCTGGTTGGAACGCTCCGCAGCCCCATTGGACTGAGGGTGGTAGAGAGAGAAAGAAAGCTCGATACCCAACTGGGAGCAGAAGGCGCGCCAGAACCTGGACACAAACTGGCTCCCATGGTCCGAGACAATCACCTTGGGCAACCCGTGCAAGCGAAAGATCTCCTTGGCGAAAACCGTAGCCAGTTCTTGTGCAGTCGGCAATTTCTTGAACGGAACGCAATGGCACATCTTAGAAAAACGATCGATCACCATAAGAATGACCGTATGACCTTGAGACGCAGGAAGATCCACAATAAAATCCATGCCCAGGTGTGACCAGGGACGCTCCCCATTGGGAATGGGTTGCAGAAGGCCCAATGGAAGGTGCCGAGGAGATTTATTCTGGGCACAGACCGAACAAGCTGCTACATATGAAGCGATGTCAGAACGGAGAGATGGCCACCAGAATAACCGAGAAACGACCCAGGACCTACCAGGATGACCGGCAGTCTTGGAATTATGGTAGGTATGTAGCAAGCGGTATGTGTCAACCTCTTAGCCTCCGAGAGATATGTGAGGTTCTTGTGGTCAGTGAGAACTAGGACCGGGACCACAGAACCCTCAAGCAGGTGCCTCCATTCCTTGAGAGCCAGAATAATGGGCAACAACTCCCTGTCTCCAATCTGGTAGTTGCACTCTGCAGAGGAAAGCTTCTTGGAGTAGAACCCACAAGGAAGTAGGGGTCCCTCGGGTGACCGACGCTGGGACAAGAGGGCGCCTACTCCTGTCTCAGATGCATCAACCTCGAGAACAAAAGGTAACCCAGGATTGGGATGAGACAGAATTGGGGCCGAAGTGAAGGCGGCTTTCAGAGCCTTGAAAGCTGAGATGGCCTCGGGTGACCACTCGTGAGGGTTACTGCCCTTCTTGGTCAGATCTGAGAGAGGCTTGGACAGTGTGGAAAAGTTCCTGATAAACTTCCGATAATAGTTGGCAAATCCCAAAAAGCGCTGAATGGACCGAAGACCCACTGGGACGAGGCCACTGCAGAACCGCTGAAACCTTCTCAGGGTCCATAGAAAAACCCACCGGGGAAATGATGTAGCCCAAAAAGGCAACCTGGGATTGGTGAAATTCACACTTCTCGAGCTTACAGAAAACTCGTTTTCACGTAACCGTTGCAGCACCCGCTTAACATCCTAGATATGAGTCTCCATAGACGCAGAGTAAACCAGGATGTCGTCCAAGTAAACCACCACGCACTGCTGCAACAAGTCACGTAAGACATCGTTAATAAACTCCTGAAAGACCGCGGGTGCGTTACACAACCCGAAGGGCATAACCAGGTATTCATAGTGGCCGGTTCTGGTGTTGAACGCGGTCTTCCACTCATCGCCCTCCTTGATCCGTACAAGGTTGTAGGCAGCCCTAAGGTCGAGTTTAGTAAAGACCGTTGCTCCCTTGAGGCGGTCAAACAACTCGGTGATCAACGGAATAAGATAAGCATTTTTAATCGTGATCCGATTGAGACCCCTAAAATCAATGCAGGGGTCTCAGCTCACCTCCCTTCTTTTTCACGAAAAAAAACCCAGCTCCTGCTGGAGACGTAGACTTGCGAATGTGCCCCCAAGAAAGCGCATCCGCAACGTATTCCTCCATGGCCTGATTCTCTGCCACCGAAAGAGGATACACCCTGCCACGCGGAGGAATAGCACCAGTTTGTAAGGTTATGGCACAATCGTAAGGACGATGAGGAGGCAGGGCACCGGCGCGCACCTTGTCAAACACGTCCAGGTACTCCCCATATTCAGTGGGCAGCACAAAGTCCG